CCATCACATCTCAGGTGAGTGGGCCTTCTCCACAGCGCCAGAGATTTGGGTTCGAGGAGAGAGGCGACGCTTATTTGGGTCGTGCATCGCATCCCACCCAAAATAGGTCCCTCGTTTGCGTCGTCTGTTGGGCCGTGTTTTCTACCGATAAAGCAACCTGGAGTAGGCATTTTGGGTTTGCATGCCGTGATGCATGAGCTGTTGGAGACAGTCTATAGGAGTACTAAAAGGGAAGAATGACTTTTTAATGCAACAAACATCAGAGCATGCTTTCTAAGCTAAGTCAAATCAACATAATCAACCATATTTTAGGGGAGTTCCAAACATCCTCTGAATTTTGTTTAAAAAAAACGTCCTCTGAATATTGTTGTTTTGTCTAGCTATTGCCATATTTGAATCCTACATCATGTATCTGCGTTGATACTTGATACCACACTAGTATTTTCATCTATGTCGATAGATAAAGAAATAGGCCCAAAAACTAATAATGACATGAAACTCATCAATGATGGAGGATACTAGAGAACAGTAATACTGTTGATGAGTCTTCAGTCCTAGTTGGAGACGTTCCTGAAAGTTTAATTATAATGTGTGAGTGAAGTTGTTCTGAAATTCCATTCATTAAAATCTGCAGTATAAACTTTGGGCTGATATTATGCATTGTGTTGCAGACAATCTTAGTTACTGTTCAGGTGATCTGGTTTGTGATAGGAAAGTGAGCTTCTGCTCCAACAATGCTACATGTGATCTGTTCTAATATAGTACGTTTGGCCTGCAACTGAATATTCTTTAAAAAGAAATATCAATTGCATATTTAGCTTCTGAAACAAACTTTCCCTTCCCTTATGCAAAGACATACAAGTACCCCTGAATCTCCTATGTTATGATAGTGCATATTGTTGTAGGCCTGGGCATTCGGGTTACCTGATTTTTTCGGGTCGGGTAATTCGGGTAGTTTAAAGTTTGGGTAATAGAAATCAATACCCGATATTTGTCTTAAAAAAAACACTACCCGATATTGCGGGTCCCTGATAATTCATGTTCGGGTTCGGGTATACCCGATCTACTCGAGATTCAGAAAAATCAGCGTATAGAATTCAAGCAGCATAGCTGGTGCAGCGTGGTGCCGGGGTCGTCCTCGGCTCCTCGATCTGCCCCGCGTGCTCCTCGGCTCCTCGTCCCTCGATTTGCCGGTGCTGTGGTGCCAGCGCCGGGGTCCAGGTGCGCGTGTCGCCTAGCTGCTCGCTGAAAAGCGCGCCGCCGCCCCGCAGCCTCTGTGCCGCACCTGGGAGGTCGCCGTCGCAAGCTGGACCACTGGAGCCTGGAGGTCTCAAGGAGGAGGAGTCCAGTCGAGGGCTCGATACTCCAGCGCTCGAAGAATCGAGGCAGAGCCGCGCCGCCGTCCGCTAGGATGCTAGGTTTTGCGACTTCACGTTCCCCTGTTGAGGACTCGAGGTCTCTCACGGGGAGTCGCGGTGAGGGTCTGGGGGGTTTTTTGCGCTGGGACTGAGATGGGGCGTTGGGCTCTCCTTTGTTGGGCCGAATGAAGTGGACTAAGTTGGGGCTGCTGGACGTTCAGTTCATGTAGATATCGGGTATTTGGGTAATTCGGGTACCGTGACTTATTACCCGAATTACCCAAATTAATTTCAGGTACCTCAAGTCACTATCCGAACTACCCAAAATAATTTTGGGTTTAGGTAATTCGGGTCCGGGTTCAGGTAGTTCGGGTTCAGGTAATGGGTATCGAGTATTTTTCCCAGGATTAGCCTAGTACAATAAAACTTCTTATTGTGCTAAAGAGTTAAGTTATACAAATCACTATCGCCGCTACAATTTAATTTCAGCAGCCTAAATCAGAAGAGTACCGGGTCTAACAATCTAGCACTAGTAACTTAATGAACGAATCCAGGTTTTCAATGCCTTGAGATGGCTCCAGTGACCCCATCTCGACTGGCATCATTGGTATTTGTATATCCGCCTGAGCTGGCTGCTGGCCCTCCACAGAAGTGACTAATCATAGTGAGTTGCTCCTAACAAGAGTTCAGGTGGAGGATACCAAAGCGTAATCACTCAGCTAGTCAGGGGCCGCACGTTCTCAGGATCATAAGAGGTGACCAGTCCAACGGCAGCTATTTTAAGAATTCCATTGTTGCTGACACTTGTTCATGCTCGAAGTACCATTGTTTTAGTACACGGAAGCTGAACCTTCGTTGTTGCATGTCACATAAACACAACAACAAACAGATAAAGCAAACAATCAGTTGAAGCTAAAAGTGTCAATAAATTGTCCGTAGCAGACATAATTCCTTTTTTTTTTCCTAAACTGAGCTTGTCAACTAGTGTCCAGTGCTTATGCTAAAAATAACAATAAAAATAAGACAATCAAAGGATTAAAAACAAGTTGCATTATTCAGACATGATTTAAGTAATTCCGATCTGGAAACCCTAACTAACAATGTAAGAAATCTGCCAAAAATTTGAACAACAGGGAGGTCGCTGGTATAGAAAAAAGAGTAGTAGGTACCAGATAACCTTGCGCACTAACTCAAATCGGCCGTCCCCAACAAATTTGAGTGGCACAATTCATGCCGACGGCGTAATAACTGGGTCGCTTCGAAGGAGAAGAACAGAGCGCGTGGTCGAGGCGCGTCGTCGATTCCCATCATGGTCACTAGAATCCGGCTAGGCGCATCGAGTAGATGCGCGGCGGGATCCGCGTGACGCTGGTGGGATCCGGGAGGCCTTCCTCCTCCACCTCGGAGAGGATGAACATAAGGGTGAGCGTACGATTCAGATGACTCACAAGTTCTCAAGCCGATTTAAATGCTTAGGGACGGAGGCTAGATGATGCACTTACCAATAGACGCAGGCAACGGCAAGAAGACCGGCGAGGCGACGAACCCGTGACTGGAGCATGAGGATCTGGATGGGCGGCGGACTCGCCGGGCCCCTCACTCCTCTGGAATCTGAACGGGCACCTGACTTCGACGACCCTCAGCCCGCTGGAATGTTCGTCCTTCGTCTTCACGTCGACGGAGAAGAGCAGTTGGTACCGCAAATCAAGTCGTCGGCGGCAGCGACGGAGCTTCCATCTCCGTCTCGAAGAAGAAACCCCCGTTGAGTGGAGAGAAAGGGGAAAGAGGCACGGTAAATTTGGGATATTTAACTTTTTATGGTTATAACGGATGTCACCTCTTCTTGTTGTAATAATAGAATTGCTCTTATATATTTACCAACGAGAGAGAATATTTAATATATTTTTGTCATTTTTATTGACGTGGCACGCTAACTTGACCTAACAGCATAGATCGGCCACGGAAAATGATATTTTTGGCCCCGTTCGCTTCGCTGAAAAAATAAGCCGAAAGACTATTTCAACTGATTTGGTGTGAGAGAAAAATATTGTTTCGACTGAAAAAATAAACTGAAAAGTACAGATTATAAGAGAAACGAACAGGGCATTTACCCCTCATCTATTTCTTCTATCTCTATCCCTTCTTCGCTCGAGCTCCGGCCATGCCCGACGATGGGGTCCACCGTAACCACATCCTTCACCGCCATCAAGTCCTCCTCCTCCGCCTAAGCCACCTCCAGCTCCACCACCGAGGGCGCCTCCACTGCCTGCACCCCCACTGAAAACCACCACCCCTCCCTCCTCCAAACCCAAGCCCTACACCGTGCCCAAGGCCGCCACCAAGCCCGCACCCACCGCACAGGTTCTGCTTCTCCAAGGACCAAGACCTCGCCAGGGCAGTGGCTGAATCTGTGGTGAGCTCGTTGTGGGAGTGGGGAGGTGCTTGGGCTTCGCCTGACTCGGCGGGGCGGGGGCGGGGGCGGGATCGGCCGCCGCGGCTGAGGCGGGGACTACGAACCTCGAGGTGCTCAAGCAGACCTGGCGCCACGAGAAGCCCGTACCGGAAATCGTCCGCTTCAACTCGCCCCTCATCTCCCGCGTCTACGAGCAGATGGGGTCCGTCGTCCGGGCACCTCGCGTGGCTGCACGGCATCCCGACGCCCCCTCCCTACGACGGCCCGCGGTGGCCCCTCCCCCCCCCCACGGTGCTAGATGCGTGGCCCCCGGCGTCGGCACGGCCAGCCGCGCGACCCCTGGCGTTGGTGCGGCCAGATGCGCCAGCCAAGGCGGGTCGATGGTGAGGACCTCCCCGGCCATGCGTCCAACGGGGCCCGCTCGGGGGTGCTGCGGGGTGTTGCAGCCGGCGGCGGCGCTAGATGCCGCACGGCAGAGATCCGCGTGGTCCCAGCCCCAAGCAGCGGGATGGCGCTCCGGGTCACAGCGTCCACGACGCGCTGCCGCTGCCTCGAGGTCCACGGCCTCGAGGTCCGCCGGCGTGGGGCGGGGGGAGGGGACAGGGACGGGGCGACGGGGACGAGAAGCTGATGGTGGAGACCTCCATGGAGTGTTTGGATGAGAGGCGTGTAGGCGTCGGTGTGCTCCAACGGGGAGGTGGAGCTGAGAGGCACGTAGGCCGGGATGTATCTTTACCATTGCTGGCCATGGTCAGAGCTCAAGCGAGAGGATGAGACGGACGAAGAAGAAATAGATGAGGGATAACAAAGTCATTTCGCATCCCATAGATACGCTGGCTTCCCTACGTGTCCTGCCACATATGCAAAAAATGGCTTAAAGTTATGAATTCTTCTCTCTCGATGGTAAATATGTAGGAGCAATTCTAAGAGTGTTATCTGAAGAAGTGACATCCGTTATAATGGTAAAAAGCTAAATATCCCGATAAATTTTGATGTCTGGACAGAAACGGAAGGTGTTGGGTGGAACTGCCAAAAAGAGAAAGCGTGCGTCGCTAGCCGGCGTGGCGCACGCACGCTAAGTAAGAATTTGGCTGGTTGGTGGCTGAAAGCCCTGCAGGCGCGGCCGCGGGCCGCCCCGCGATTTTAATTGCAAGCAATCGACCAGAACCTACCCCGTTGGGAGTGATCCGTGCAACGAGGTGGTCGGGGAGTGATCGACCGAGCCGGCGATGGGCAGCGTGGCGATGGACTCCGACTACGGCACGCCGCGCGAGCTGTCGCCGCTCCAGAAGGCGTGCGCGCTCTACCGACCGGAGCCCCCGCCGTGCCTCCAGGTACCATGCACCCATCTGCTGCTCATGTTACGTGCCTACCGTCGGCTACCGCCGACCGCCGCCCTCCCTGGTTCGCAACGCCATTGCCGCGATGATCCGTCCGCCTCGAGATCCGCACACGTGCGACGGCGCCATGTCCAGGTTCCCTAAGCGCACTTCTTATATCCATCGTCTCCTCCGTCGTCCAGATCGATCAATCAATCCCGTCGAGGCAGGGGTAGGTCGGTTTGGTGCGCCGATGCCCATCTGTTCCGAATATTTTCCCTCGCTTTCAGATGGGTTCGGGGTGGGGTACCATGATGCAGCACTGTGTGTGGGGGTGGGGGGTATGTGAACCAGTAAGGCCCCGTTTAGTTCTGAAAATTTTTGGCTTTTGGCTACTATAGCACTTTCGTTTTTATTTGGCAAAAATTGTCCAATTATGGACTATTTATGCTTAAAAGATTCGTCTCACGATTTCTCGGCTAACTGTGTAATTAGTTTTTTTTCGTCTACATCTAGTACTCCATGCATGTGCCGCAAGATTTGATGTGACGGAGAATCTTGAAATTTTTTTGTTTTTGGCTTAGAACTAAACGGGGCCTAATGGTCACTCTCCACTGTGGAGGCTTGGATCTGAGATTCCATGGCTCAACAAGCGACGCACGCCAATCATTAACCACTAGTAATAAGGCTTGTTTAGTTTTAAAAATTTTCACCTTAAAGTGTCACATCGAATCTTGCGGCATATGCATGGAGTACTAAATGTAGATGAAAAAAAACTAATTGCACAGTTGGGTGAGAAATCGCGAGACGAAACTTTCGAACCTAATTAGTCCATAATTAGACACTAATTGCCAAATACAAACGAAAGTGCTACAGTAGCCAAAACAAAAAAAAATTCGCCAACTAAGCGCGCCCTAACATTCAGAGAAATCTCTTATTTATCGTCTTGTAAAATTCTCTAGGCCAACATTCACTTGCCTGGCTGGGTAGGCCAGCAGGGTTCTTGACCGGCTGACTTTATGGGTTTCTTCCTCTTCTGAACTCTGCACTGGATGGAATTCAGGGCACCACAGTCACGGTGGAGTACGGTGATGCTGCAATCGCGGCCGATATCGCAGATGCTCACGTCATCAGCCACGCCTTCCCCCACCACACCTATGGCCAGCCGCTGGCACACTTTCTCACGAAGACGGCCAATGTGCCCGACGCTAGCATCATAACAGGGCACCCTGTAGTCAGGTACACTCAACTTCCAAGATCAGCCTTTTATTATCAGTGTCTTTGTGCAATTTTTTTTTCCTTACAACTGAAGTTTGTAATTCCAAATGCCATATTTTCCCATCTATTTTTGCTCCAGCATGTGTACATTAATTTAGCTCATGAATTGTGACAAGCCTTGTATTTCTTCTTATCAAAGCGGGGAGGTTTGGCCGCTCGTCAGGGTGGCCACGGTAGCAAACTTAGTTTGGCCCGTCCGATCTTCGCGTTTGTGGATGATGCTCGTCCCAACTACTGTGCCGACGCCGCCGCACCCGTTGGGCTGCTTTCGGTCTTTCTAGTTGCCCTCCCACTGCGACGCCGCCTTCGTCCCTTCCAGTCTCCATCTCCCTTTCCGCGGCTCCGCCCTCCTCGCCCGCTCCCTGTTCTCCGCCGTCGCCATCGTTGCCTCCACCGTCGCCATCGTTGCCGCCTCCCTGGGTCCCGGCCTCCTGCGTTGACCGGTTTTGGCTCGCGCTCCTTTTCTCCTCCTTCATTTGCCGTGCCGATTCGGTTTCTGTCTTCCTCGTTTGTTTCGTATCTACCTTCCTTTCCTCCTCCCCTTCTCTTTTCCGTGCTTTTACGCTTCGGTGGGCTGGGACGTCCTCCTCCTGCAGCCTCACCCTGTGCCAGATCTAACCCCTCCGTGCTTCCTTGCCGTAGTTCTTCCAAGCCCTCTTCGTCTGTTCTTCTCGTCTAGGGTTCCCGTCTTGCCGGAGTGGGTGGCATGGCTGCTCGCCTGCCTCCACAATGGACATCTTGGCGATTCTCGCCACGCTCTTTGCGTCGCCGTGTTTGTTGCCGCCGTTGTACGCGTATTTCTTGCAACTGCGGTTTTTGCGCTTCTGACCCCACCCCCCTCTTCGCCCTACACTGCTGCAAGTGTGCTTGCTTGCGCCGCTTCATTTACCCCCCTTCCACAGCGCTTTATTTCCTTCTTCTCCTTTGCTGTTTTGGGAGGGTTGGGGACCAGTACTTCATACCGGTGTGTTCTCCACACCGTGTCTCGATTTCTCTCTGTGCTCCTTCTACGCGCTTCTCATCGTTGCTGTGCTCCAATCTTTACCTACTTTTCCTATTCCTCTTGTTTTCCAAATTGATTTCGCTTCTCATGTATGTGCTAATACTTTAATTTGTTTCGTGTTTCGCCCTGCCGTTCTGTCCGCTTGCTCGCATTGATTATGTAGGTGCCTCTTGCAGATGCGCTGTGCACGGGACTTACCTTACTCTTACTCTCGGTAATTTTGTTGGCTTTGTTGCCGCCCTCAAATCCACTGTTTGCCAAGTCCTTACAGTTGTCTGCTGCTTATGAAAAAAGTCGGGCTAGCCTCGGCGTACGTCGTCGCACTGTGCGGCGGTCGTAGGGATGTGTACATTTTACTTGCATGCTTTCCTGATTCGCTTCCTGCTGTCACCTGCTTCCCAATCTATTTTTAATGAGCTTAGGGTATGTGTACTTATGTGTCAATGCTTCTTACGGAAAATTATCGGGCCCCACGCTCTTCAGACCGATGTACCACATAAGTAGGGATGCTTACATTTACCTTACATGCTTTCTTGATTCTCGTCGGTCTGTTACCTGTTTGCCCAATTTTTTTCTATGAGGTTACGGTATATGTCACCTGGTTGTGTCCATTGCCTCTCTTCTATGTTGTGCGCAAGGGTCTCCACGTACATGTCTGCTGTTCGTGTATGCGGTACACTTGGATTTTTAGATCTCTTGATATTGGTTCATGTGTTGCAGGTACATTGTGCGGCTTCTCTCCTGCTTCTCCATCCTTGTGCTGCTCCAGCCTTACCAAATATCCAAGGTGACTTCATGCTGTTTGCACTGTACGCTACTTAGTTTCCTTCTGCTGTGTTTCTGTAAGTGTCTGTCTTGTGTGTCTAATGGATATAATTGCCTGTGCCTTCCCATTCTTGCGCTCTACTTATACATCATTGTTTGTTGTTTTTGTTTGTCTGACATCCACGCCTGATGCGTATCATTGTGTTACGTACATCATGATTCGTTGCTGTCCTCACAGCCTTTCTACATTGTTTCCTTTGTGCCAGATTGTCCAAGTGCTCCTCATCAGCTCAGCTCTTGTTGTGCCTAGGTACTGTACCAAAGTTCCATAGGATTTTGAGGTTGTTCTTTATTCTATTCGCCTATTGCCTACACGTGCATGTGGTTTCCATCGGTGCCTGATCGTGTTTTACTCACTCTTTTCCAGTATTTCGACCTTCTTGCATCTGCTAACCTGTTTGCTACATTTGACTTCTGCGTCTCTGCTCTAAGAGGTATGTACATGACGATTCCAGCAATGTTAATTTGCTTTACGATCCATCCTGCAGGCTTATGTTTTTCCTGTTCCTGTACTGTTTCATCACGATGCTCCTATATATCCATATTTGATTCCTGTGCTTGTGGATTTATACACCGTTACCAATAGATATGGTTGTGTACATACATACATATATGTGATAAAGTATAGTTCCATGCATAGATACACACGCATTTTATATGCCATTGTGGGTGGTCAGTAGCTGTTTCCTACCCTTTTTTTAATCATCCGTGTTTTTATTTCGGCCCCGCAGACTTTTCCCACGCTAATTCTTTGCCATCGTTCGGACGAAGCTTCCTTATTTTGTCTCTCCCTTTCCCTTTATTGCCCAATTTGGTTCCATTAAAAAAAAAGAAAATATTGTCCTCTACGTTTTAGCGGTAACTACAACTGCTCCTCGGTTGTGGTCGGTATGCCTTCTTTTTACCCTTCCTGCCTGTTTCTTTTATACTGGGTTTTCTTGCCTTCGATTGCTGTCCAGTATGTTGCGCGGTCATACTTCCTGCGTCTGCTCCTTGCAGGCCTACACCTCTATCTACCGTTGCCAGTTCTCAAGTATTTTCACGTGTTTACCATCTACTGAACAATCCTTCATCTGTGAATTACTATATGTCAGATTGTTTCCTGTGCCCAGTTAGTTCAGTAGTTGTACCTTCTCTACCAGCCATGATAGCATATATCTAACATTTCCTGTTCCATTGCTTTCCTCTGGCCTCTAACACTGCTTCACCAAATTATTCCCTTTAGGTTTCTTTCTCCCTATTATTGTTGCCTTCTTTTTTTAACGGCCTTAGTTTGTCGTCGCTTGTACAAAAGTACCTTCCACAACTTCGTACGACGCTACCTTTAATTATGGATTATTTAAGTTCTTCACCCTCTTCGTTCTTTTACATATTCTGTGACCACATGCCTTCTTCTCCTTCCTGGTTGATATAGTTTCAACTGCTACACATACATGACCACTGCGGCGCATCGCTCTGCCGGACAATCATGTGTGTACATCTTTTGCTTCAAACTTTTGTATCTAAATGTTACCTTCCTGTGATAATCTACATGTTCCTCGTTTACTGAAGTTTTCCTTTTATTATGTCATCATGTTTGGGGCGCTTGCCTTATTGATGAACTTGATCCTTGTGCATGCCAATTCTGTTTAGCCTCCTCAACGTCCTCAGGTCCGGCCTGTTTTCTAAGCCACTGCGCAACAGATTGTACAATGTTCCCCTATGTACTTCGTGCTGTGCTTAGTCCCTGTTCTCGAACCTTTAACCTTATCATGGTGTTACCTGTGGTCTGCTTCTCTTCTCTTAGGTGGCCGTGTTTTTCATGCTTCGCCCATCTTAGACCCTTCTGAGTCCCGCCATAAACGAAAAAGGCTATTGGATCAGCACCGCCTTGCCTGGACAGGTATATTACCGGTTCCATATCGAGCAAATAGGACACGTGCCTTCCACAAATTATTTTTCTCTTCTTTTTATTTCAACAAAATACAGTCTTGTTGACGCTACGTATACCACTCCTTTAATCGAGCCGCCTCACAGGTTGTTCAAAGAGTTATACACCATCTCTTCAATGTGGCCATTTCGATGACGAATATGTTAATGCGCTCAAAGGTACAGTTTTTAAGCTCCTGAAACAAAAACAGTTATGCTGTCCTATCCCTGTTTTGTTCCCCAAAAGTCTCGTCCCTCCTATTCATCGCCTCTAAACGGCCGCTTTTTAAAAACTTCATTTGTAGCCTCTTATCGAGATAGGTCATACTATGGCCCACTGGATTATCAATGCCGTCATTGTGGTGTTGTGTTCTGGTATGGTGAGAGAGGCAAATCTGAGTCTTTGCGCCGTGATAACAATATTGTTTATAACAACTGTTGCCGGAGTGGGAAAGTTGTCATCCCACCTTTCCAACCTCGCCCTGATCCTTTGTCTGCGCTAGCTACGTTTCGTGGAGGTTCTCGCTCCAACAAATTCATGAAGAATATTAGGCAATACAATTGCCTTTTTGCCTTCACGTCTATGGGGGCTAACGTTGATCGCTCGCTTAACGATGGCTGTGGCCCTCCAATTTACAGAATTAGTGGACAGGTGCACCATAGGATTGGCTCCCTCTTGCCACCAGATGGAAGCCCTCCTAAATTTTTGCAGCTCTATATTTATGACACCGCTAACGAGGTCGATAACAGAATGCGGGCTCTAGCACCTGCTGACATATCTGCTGACAATTTGGATCCTGATATTACTTGGAGCCTCATAGATATGCTTGACCAGCATAATCCTTTTGCTAAAAAATTTAGGATGGCACGGGATAGACTTCAGGATGGACAGACCCAAGATTTCGTTGTAAGGATTATAGGAGCTAAAGAAGGAGATCCCGTTCAGTACAATCTACCAACTACTGATCAGCTTGCTATGCTTGTGGTTGGGGACTTTTCTCTTGACACTTTCAAGCGTGATATAGTCATTCAAACACGCTCTGGAGAGCTGCAGCAGATATCTTCTTTGCACCCTGCCTATATGCCGTTACAGTACCCTTTATTATTCCCATATGGTGAGCGTGGATATCAGATTGGTGTTCTGTATAATGGTGCTATACCAGCTGACAGAAACACTCGCACAAAGGTTACTATGCGGGAGTACTTCTGTTACAATTTCCATTAT